TGCTACGGTATAATTCATGGAAATATTGTCAATTTTCCAATTTCACTGGGAGTTGCCAGTTAGCGAGATCTATTTACAACACATGGTTTCTTTCTACAGAAATTAGAGTGTTAAGAGATTTACAGGGTATCAGAAGTTCTTCTCCTAGAGGAAGCTGCATCCCAAACACATGAAGTAAGAGCAGCAGGAAGATATGAAGGAGGCAGGGACAAGTGTACTCTATAAAGCTCTGGGACATATTCACCCAGAAATCTCCTTTTGGCCATTTCCAGCTAGCTGGCTGCAAGTGCTTTTCCATGGGGTGCAGATAGTGAACTTATCTTGATACCCTAAGAAGCTCCACAAGAATGGGGTTTTACCACAGAGGACACACACAATTGAGTATTATCCTAAATGTAATGCAAGGGGTAGATTAATTAATTAATTCAGTTTCAGTATTTTAGCTGTAAAGTGACACAGTACTGTCGTGTGAGGCAATGGCACCTCAGGCACAGCTGCACGTCCACAGCCTCATGTGTCGCTGCAGGATGCTGGGGACTCGGAGGGGACAGCCCCAGGAGGAACCCTTCCTCCCAGAACCACGTGTGCTGCAAGTATTTTTACTGGGGGAAGCATGAAGGTATTCCTCAGGACAGGACTTCAGAAATAGGCTGTAGTTTGGTCAGTTTAGCCACTTAACTCTGCCACTTAACCAGGGCATCTAAAAGCTGTTTGTAATTCGGTGGGCAAAGGCAGTTACCTGGGAAGACCTCCATTGAGCTGTGAGGTTCAAAGAGTCCAGATCTACCCCAAACTAAAAGTGTAAAACTAGAGTTAGCTTTCCAGCATTCAGCTGGGACCGCGATCCTGAGTTCTCTAAAGAAATCCCACTGGAGATGAGAAAATTTTGATAAACTATGTGTAGCCTGCATAGCAAAAGAAAGCACAGAGTAAGGTCAAATTTAGGTGGCCTGTCTGGAGAAGGGACAAGAGCCAAAGCACCTTTAATGTTGGGATGGGGTCTGGGGCAAACCATGATAATATGTTTTAGGGGCAGTAGAAGTTAATCCTTTCATTAGGAACAGGTCAGCAGCCTGGCCAAGTGTATTTTTTTTTTTAAATCTCTTAGCACTCTAAGATCCTCTGTGCTCTCCACTAGCCAAAATGACTTGCTTCTGGATGTACCACTCAAACACAGTTCTTTATTTATTCACTTTATCTCCTTTTACTGATATAATTTTGAAGCATGGCTGATCTTGTCTGTGCCCCTGCTTTGCCCTGTGAAGTCTCTTTGTTCAATCCTTGTCATTCGTTTTCCGCTCCTGATCTGCCCCACATCAGAACTGTAGTCTGGTGCAAGAAAATCCCCTGTGCTCAATTAGAGAACATCCCAAGCAATGCTTTGACAAAGGGGAGACAAAATTTCTACCATTATAGAATGCAGGAAAAGACATGTGCCACAAGAATTGGATGTTTAAGCAAGTACCAGTAAGTAAAAATTACATCCAGATTGAAAGGCTGGCTCCAAAATAGTTAACAGTAATTTATTAAAATGACAGCTACTACAGTGCTGCCTATCACAAAATGTGAAAAAATATTCTATTCCCTGATTATGGCTGTAGTCTGCCCTCACTCTGTGCCTGTATGAAGAGTAAAAAAAATGCACTTAGGATTTTGAAAATTTCTGCAAAGTAAAGGCAGGTCTGTATATCAACAGTAATAACAAATCCCTTGAAAAGCATATCGAGAAAAAAGTTGACCAAGACTTTAAGCCTCTTGGAACAAGAATGACAGCCTTAATTCTGGGAGCTCCTGACACTTTCATGGCTCTTTTCCAGGTCAGAGGGACACGGAGCACTCCTAATAGGCTACATGGGACCGGCGCAGCGCACATCCCATCAGAGGGTGGGAAAGGGATATGAGACTCAACTGGAGCACTGCTACTCTGACTTCATGGGGTGATCCAACAGCTTCACAGCCAGAGCTAGTTTTAACTCGCCTGGCAAACAGGGTGAGCTTTTGTGTAACCCCTTGAGCTTTAGGCCAACTGCAAACCAGAAAACCCATGAACCTGCAGCTCTGAGCCTAGTAGCAACTCTGTTGGAGTGACTACCTCAATTTTAAGAGTGCTTGAAGCACAAGCACCTAGTGACACAAGGTTCGCGCTCCTGTACTCAGCAAGAGCTGTTGTAATTTGTTGGATTGTAAAACATAGTTTATGAGTGTGATTTCAAGAACAACAAAAATACTTTCAGTGCACAATTAATTGCCTTCTTGAGTAAAAGTGATGATGATACTTACACTTCCAAGTCCTCAAGTCTTTTGCTTTTACAAGAAAGTAGAGAAAGGAATAGAGTTATCAAAATAAACATTCTTGAATCAAAGGAACTCTTCTTCACTTTGCCCTGAGGATGCTCCCAGTGAGACGACTTCTTAGGCTATGCTATTCCTAGTAGTGTCTGGCACGACAAGATATTCCCTTTTCTGACCTATTTTGCCCATTTTGATTCTTTCAGAGTTGCTTTGCAATTGCAATGTTAACATTTAACTGCGTATGTTTAGGGTATGTCTGCACAGCATCATTCTGTGCTACATGTGGATACATGAGCTGGCAACAAGCGCACTGGCTCCGAAACCAGAAACACTGGAACTATAGTACAACATTTCACCAAATCAACATACTACTGCTATGAGAAGTGACTACCAAGGTGCTTGACATGGTGCCATGCAGATCTATATTTTGATACTGATTTAAGCTATATTTTGGACATTACGTCTCCTATATCCGGTTGATACTTTCCTACTGTTAATACTCTCTCTGCCCCTGATTGTGCATTTTAATCAAAGGATTTCAGGTTATTTCAAGCTGTAAGGGACCTCAGGAAGTCTCAGTGGCTGCTGCTGAAGTTCTTCTGTTCTGTTTTCTACCAAAGGGCCCAAAACATGGATGCTGTATTCTAGGCAGGTCCTAGTGAGTACTGAGTAAAGGGGGATAATAAGTTCCCCTCAATCTACTGGCTATGCTCCTGTTAATACAGCTCAAATTACTTCACCCAAATAAATATTAAGTAAAGAAAATGAACCTCCCTTAAACTACATAGTCAATGACTTTTAGACTGTTTTTATTACTGATAACAGATTATGTAATTTTCAGTTTATGTTTTCTGCTACAGTTTTGGAACAGAATTCACATATAAAACCTATTTTCTTCTCTGTTCTGTCACTGTCTGCAGCAAATGTCATTTTTTGATTCATTGCTGTTCTTCTAAACTTAGGATTTGGGTACTCTTTGGGATCACTGAAATTCAATGCAGTTGTTATTTGAATAAATTCACATTTCACTTCCACAGCAGACTGTCATTTTCCTTTACTATTGGAGATGTTCAGCTGACGTTCAACAGTGGCTACCTGTAGTTGCTTGGGGAGAAAGAAAAGTACCACAAGGACCTGTTGGAGGGTAGGAGGCAAAGCAGAGTCTTGAACCTGGGTCTATTGTCTTCAGCAGAATACTCCAGTCACAGAACTTTTCGTTGCTTGGGCATTTTCTCTTTCTCTTCCTCTCCTCTTTCCCTCTCCATCTCCCCCAACCACAAACCCTATCTGTGAAATAATTTTATTGAAAAATTCATGACCGACTTAACTGATTAATATGTATGTATCTCAATGTCCTCTATGGATTTTTTTTTTCCCTGTCTGATCTTCTGCAAAGAACTTCCAGTTGGCTATTATATTCAATAAAGTGAAAACTAGAGTCCCAAGAGGCTAATTATCCACTGTTACAATATTAATTCTGGCAATCATGGAATTTTAAAATTCAGCTGAGGTAATATGAAAAGCAACTCTTTTATTAACTGCATGATCATGAAATACTGAAAAGAAGTTTTCTGAAATCATTTGCTATTGTGAGATATGGCTTTCCCAGTACTTTCTTAGTTGCTTTTCTGTTATGAATTTAGAAGTTTGGCCCTAAGAGTTGAAATTGTGATTTTATTTCCTAAGGAACCACTTCTGGGCAAAAGAACAGTTCCTTCAAACCATGTTTTGAATGGAGGGAAAGGACTGCATTAGGCTCCAACTTGCAAAATGATAAATGTTCTCACTTGTCTTGGTTTTTCAGCAGTGATTAGTGTTCACAATTTCAGATGGATTTGGTGGGAGATGTGGATGTCTCTCAACATAAAGCCTTTTATGGTTCCTCCTTCCAATGGGCTCAGCTCTCAGTTGGTTAAATGCCATTTGAAACACCCAAATGTTGGTGTTAGCAGCAGCTGCCACTACCAAAGGGTATGAGTCTTCTGTAGGTCCCCTGTCACATTTGCCTGACCGCTCCCTAGATGTACCCAGGACATCTCAAATGGCACCAGATACCTATATAAAGCAATAAAGTTGAGCCCCAGCAAATATTAGTTTTCTGCATAGAAAGTGAGCTATAATTATTAGGGGCAGATCCTGCCACTGTATACATCATCTCTGTGTACTGGATTGTAACTTTTATACTATCTATACTCCAGCCAGTTAAAAAATCAACCTCTCTACACCTGTGTCTAACTAGTTTTCTCATTTTCCAGTTGCTGCTGCAGTGCCCTATCAAGACAGCTGCTGTCATAGGGTTTGCTGTGAGCTAAGCTTTTATTTCAACTTCCTGAACTTCATCTTGATCAAAAAAAAAAAAAAAGTATAATTCAGCTCTGTGTGTGGGAATCATTTATTCACATAACCCTATTGCTTACCTGCAGGGTGTCTCTTTGGGATATAGGAACAGAGAAAATCTACTTTGTGGGTGAATCCTCTGACAGCCAAATGAGTGTGTGAAGCACAGACCCTCAGAGGCCAGAATAACCTTTGGTTTTGTCCAACACACAACAGAGAAACAAACGGTGCCCCTGGAAGCAACCTTGACTGTCTCTTCAGTTTTAATCTCTGCAGTGACTAGTCAGCAGATGTCAGGTTTTAATTAATTTTTTTTTTTTTATTTGGGGCAAACTTGGAAAAATATAAGCTGAAAAATGTGATGTACTTACTTATTGTGGACCCAGATTCGGGCCTGTTCAGGGAACTGATGATAACAAAACCAAAGCCTTCATTCTCCTTGCGGTGGATCACCACGTCACTGGTTTGCAGGCTGTGAGAAGTGAAGCCCTCGGGGGGTGTAGCATTGCTACTAGAGACAGCGTGATTACTGTTAGCATAAGTAGTGTAGTCACTTCTTGGAGAACTGTGGTGCGTAGACACGGAGCCTGGGCTTCTGCCATTCTCTGGGCACGGCTCTCCTACAACATAAATCACACCAGTATTACAGTCTGACTTGCTCAGTGGCTCTGTGACTTACAGTACATTTGCTAATGCAACATGAATACAGTTGACCGTCTATAGCCCAGACTACCGCAATTATTAAACTAGGAGCTGTAATAGATGCAGAGAGACAGGAATCTACACAATTATGCAAAACATTCAAGGGCGATCAGATAAAGCAAGCATGAGCACTCACTGCTAAGCTCTCTACAAGAAAGGAAAGGAAAGTAAGAAACTGTGGCTCTCTGGATTGCAAAAACGTTAGCAAGCACTATTCCCTTGTCTGCCGGTTGATCTGTCGTCAAGAGGAAAATGTGACTGTCTAATCCAATATAAAATTATTTGCGTTTGGATTAAAAGAATTTAAGCAGGCAGCTAACATAGAGTAATTAGGATTAGCTGAATAATGTTCTTCTTACAAGTTGATTAGCGTGCTCAAAAGATGTTCATGGAACAGAGCAGTTATACAATGAAAAATAATCACAAATAGTTTTTCTGTGGGTGTCATGAGAGAAGCAGTGGTCGCTTAAAGGTTTTGAAGATGCTCTTGTGTGGCAAGTTCGAAAGGGCAGAAGTGAAAATGGAGTCCCTCCACACTTCAGTATTGCTTTATAGTAACAAGAACAGAGAACAAGTTAAATCTTGCGGGATTACACACTTTTTTAGTACAAGCGTTTTGGCAAGTGAAAACAGCCAAGTTACACTTCCAGATGGGAAAAAAGATTTATATTCCTCGCAGATCTAAGTTGTTTACACAAATCAGCATTTATTGACAGTTTTAATACAGAACTTTCAGATGAATGTAAGTAATAAGTTTTCTGTTCGGAGCAATGAGAGTGGCAGGGTCGTTCTACTGAACATGTGAAGAGCTTACGTATACACACATACATCCTAGGAAGAGAGCTTGCAAATTAGACCTTCAGTGTGTATATATTAATAAAATAAACATCATCCAAGGACAAGCTGTTGTTTTCTCAGTCAGGTGTGTCCTTTAGCAGTCCTTCTGCAACTATGAAATAAAGTGATTAGAGAGAATAAAGAGGAAGAAAAACAAACAATTATTATACTCCTACATTAGAATTGAAAATCTCCAAGAGTTATTGAACCAAATCTGCAACTAAATGCCATAGTCAGTGACAAGAGAGATCTCATTTTCTGGCTGTCATGTTTCAGAAAGCTGAATATTGTTTATGTCAGTATGGTTGCAACAGAAAGGAAATTATCTTACCCTCCAGAATGACCAAGAGCTGGCTTGGCCATAAAAGAATGCAACTGAGCACCATTAAGTATAAGAAAAGAAAGATAAAGGAGGAAAAGTTTAAATGGCTATTCGATTGTCAGCTGTGCAATAGATATTCATCAGAAAAATTACATTTTGCTTCTGCCTGTGAAAAAATGGCATTTTAATCTGCATTTTTCCGAATACCACATTTTCCTAATCAAGTTGTTTTCCAGAGCTTGCAAATGGTGATTTTCTGTTCCAGATCTGGGTAAGTATCTGTGCACAATGGCGATTCCAGGTGAGGGCTAAGATACGTACATCAGCTACCAGGCAGGTAAGGAAAGCCCCAGATCCCTCTGTTGTATACATTCACACTAGTGAGAAATTCACACGAAATAAATTGGCCTGATGTGTTAGTATAGCGTTTTTCAGTCACGCCCAACATCGCTCGTTTTAAAATTTTTCCACAAAGCTTATGCTGTTACACACCAAATTAAAATCCTGTTCAGCTCCTGAAATGCTTAAACATTAATGAGTTACACGCTATACTCCCCGGTGTGGCACTCTCAAGGCCCAAGAATAACTCCAGGTGTTTTACCAGCTTGCTTCATTTTCTGTGCCAGGAGATCAGCGCGTCTAATAGACCCTTTTATTTAATATTTAACAAGCAGCAGCGAAGGCTGGCATCCACTCTGCGCTAACCCTCTTGCTAATTTTGCCTGCAGTCTGTACAGCCAGCTGACCCGGCAAAGGTGCTAATCGCAAGCACTCGGCGGATTACCTTGGTTATTGGCCATTTTCCTAGCGGTGGGGGAGCTGCGAGGGGGCGTCGCGCCGGGCGGAGGGGGACCTTTCTGGCTGGAGGAGTCTGAAGTCAGTAACAGAAGAAAGTCAGTCCCGCGAGAGCGCGGCTGGCAGGGAGCTGCGGTGCCGCAGTGGGAGGGGGACTGTGAAGACGAAGGTGAGTGGGAGGGCGGCTTTTTGGCAGGGGAGCGAAGGGGAATGGCGCAGGCAACGACAGCGGATCTGGGGCAGGGGGAGGCAGAAGACAGGACAGGCTGGGAATGTGGGTTTGCTCATTTCTGGTGCCTCTGTGAAGTGCACTTACCACAAAGGTTTTAAAAGTTCTTAAATAAACTTCTTTCCTCGAGTAAGCAAAGGTTGCAATGGAACGGCAGCAAATTCTGCCATTACAGCTTTAATAGATGCTGCCACACATTTTTCCAGGTTCCAGTGTTCGTCAATAATTGAGACCGAGCTAGTCTAAAGGTTTCATTTACTTCAAATTCTTCATATTGTTTTAGGTTTATTTTCTGAACGTGTCTGCTTGAAGGGAGGATCTGGCCCTGTTCCTAGGAGCCGCTTGTGCCATACAGAAGGTTTTCAGCCAGCTTGCGTTGCAGTCAAGGGGGGTAAAATTCCATCAATGACATCAGTGAGACCAGAAATGGGCTTTTAACACATACAAGAGTGAAATGAGTTCCTGCCCTAAATGGTTAACAGTCTTTGAGCCTTTCTCTCATTGCTTATTGACACAGTCAGCTTTAACTGAGGTGAACGTTCTGTCCCAAAGGTGGACAAGAAGCGACAGCACAGACCAAGACAGCATGGAACAAATCCAGAGCACTCATGATCACCACACCGGGGTTGCCAATATTGTTTCCACTTCTGAAGGAAACAACACTCAGTTGTAGTGTTTTTGTCACAGAAACAAGGGACACATATTTACAATTATTCTTTCTTCAAAATGACACAAACATTCACTTTGATTTTAATTTTCTCTATTTTTTTAAAACAGCACCTGTTTGGGCTGCCAGCATTGAGATCTGTTTTTCCTTTCATCTTTCCCAGCCTTCACTCACCTGTGGGTAGCACCTTTCTCCTCACAGTAAGATTCACTTGCCCATTTCGGGCAGCGTTATGCATAAGATCAATCACATATCGGTGGGTTTTGCCGGCCACTGGAATCCCATCTACATACACCAGCTCATCACCAGGATGGAGACGACCATCTCGGTCTGCTGAGCCCATGGCAATTACTGCTCCGATGAGAATCTAGGCAGCAAAGAAACAAAATCCCGTCATATATACACTGAGCCTCCAATTTAGTGCCATGAATGTTGCAGTGATTTTCTCATTCTTTTGAAATTAAGCTAGTGATTCGGTGCAGGTGAAGAGATCTGTGTGTGTCTGGAAGCTGTGCTCCTCCTCTGTGGGTGTGACTGAAGATGCTTCCTTGCCTTTGGTAAGAAGGTAAGATGCTTCCTACCTGCATAGGAGTGATACACCTGAGAATCCTGATCTAAGGATGATCTACCTGATATCTTCAAATCAAGACAATCTATCTATAAGGAGTGTTGAGTTTATATAGACGACATTATGCAGAAGATCTAAACAAATTAATTCCACATAAAGGTCCTTTTGACTTTAAATTAGTTAGTTTGCATATTTCTTATCGAAGGTTCCTCACTGCTGTGTGATTTAAGCACCTGGAGTAATACACTTGAGGTCAGTAGTGGAAGTGACCCCACTACACAGAGTTTGCTTTGGGACTCTTTGGGGAAAAGAAGTGTTATATCAAATGTTGTTACTCATAATGAATAATTGCTCAGGTAGTGGTTGATTAACAAAATGGAAAAAGAGGAAAAATGTCAGCTTACTCTGGGCAGATGTTGTTTTCCCAAATCGACATTTAAATGTAATTTGTATGGGACATATAAACTAGTAAAAAATCTGTTCAAAACCTTTTAATGACTTTCTCCACTTTCTATGCACATAAATTCACATAATTTATTAGAAGGAGACATATATATTTTCCCTGTGGAGTAACTGGTAGAACAGTTGAGATTGATTCAAACAAAACCTGCTTTCTTTGAAAGAATATTAAAGAATTCACAGAGCCTGTTCCAAATTTTCCTTTCTCTTGTTCAGTGCGAGAGTGAGCACGGAATGATAGATATGACATGCCGTGTGACAATCTGGTTTAAATAATAAAAGATAAAAGCTATCAAGTATTGCTTTTCATGATGAACTGCAAAGGCTAGATGTGGTAGTCACACAGGTGATCTTGGTTTTTTTTTTGTGGTCTTAGCTGCAGAGTTGCAAGTATCCCAGCAGAGTGTTTAAATGAAACCCCATGTGAAGCCTGGAGAATTTTCCCCAGTTTCTAGCCTCCCTTTGCTCACTTTTGCTTTTAAAACTTAGCAAAGAGAGAACACGATGCGGCATTTTCCTGCTTCCTGGTGTTCCTGGGATCCTGTTAAGCAGTGCCAAGCAGAGTTGCTAGAGAGACTCTTTCAGGTTCTCCATTCTGTTCTTCAAATAGTGAAAGAATATACGTCAAAGCTTTGGAAAATACTTTGTGAAAAATCCAACTATGAAATATGTATTTATGCTCCTTTACTGGACAGGAAAAAAGCTGTCCAAAGCTACATTTAGCTAGATCTCCAGAAAGTATTCTCAAAACCTTTACATTTGGGCATCTTATATGACTAAGAATTTTTTCCTAGTTATGTTGGGAAGAGACTGGTGATAACGCTCTGCAGCTTGGAAGATTGTAGGGACTGCCTTCCTCCTTTGGTGTTATTGAGCATTTGCAGTTTCTTTATAATTGGCTGCCAAAGTACTGAACAATTTGTGCATCTTTAACCTTTGGAGAAACACAAATGCAGCTCAGAGCATGGTAGGTCATCAGTATCTACAGCAAAGTGCAAAAACTCTCTCTAGTTTTGACTAATTAAGTAATCATTGCTGATATTTCACATGTCCACAGTGGAATGTGATTGTTACTCATCTCAGTGGTGGAACTGACTCCTCACATAAGCAGCAGAGTCCTACTTTAAACACTTCAGGTAGATGTGTTAAGATGATGGCCACCATATCTGTTACTGGGTACATCTAATAGCAAGAATAACTTGATTTTCTTCTTTTTCATTTTCTGTGTCTGAACTTGTTTCTTATCCAGTATCTGCTCGCATTTCATAGCTGAGTAGTTTCCATAATAGTTACAAATTCTACAAGCAAAACACAAATTGGAAAAATATTTATCAGGATTATATTACCTCTGTAGTCCAGTTTCATACTGGCATGAGATTGCTTTGAATGTGTGAGGAAAAGGAAGATGACAGGTAGCCAATAAAGAGTGTATTATAGAGAAAAGGGAAAGTTTCACCTATTGCTTGAGATTAAACATGAGAAATGCTGGGATTAGGAAGATTGTGACAGAGCATAATCTGGAATTGAAGCCGGGGTCTATTAACTCATACATGTTAATCTGTTTTGATACTGAGTTTCTTTTTGATTCTTGGTATTTATTTGACTTTGTGTTTCAGTTTCTCTGAATATAACACAGTAGCTTCACAGGCACATAGTAAAACTTAAGTAATACACATAAAAGGTGTGATTCTTCTCACCTAATTTTAAGTGCCTGTGATGTCTAAAACCAAGCTAATCATCCAAATTCTGTCTAATCACTGCTAGAAATAGGAGTTCCTAAGGTGTGGTCTGCATTATCCTAACGTTTTGCTCTATGGACATCTGTTATGTCTTAGAAATGTCTGTTTCTTGGCACTGATCATAAAAAGAATATAGACATACATCTTGCAGGCATTTTTGAGAAGAATCCCAGTCAATCTGTGTTGAAAAGGTGAAACTTGTAGTGTAATTATGTATATGTTCCTGTCATTTTGAGTTTGAGCTGCACAAATGTATCCAAGATTATTCTCTGCTTTGGGACAGCAATTTGCAACTTCAGTAAAGTTCCAATTTATGTACATTTGCAAGCTTTCAGTGATATTATAATTTGCTGTAACAGAGTCAGATTATTTCTAACTCCTCAAGTTACTGGGAGAGGCGATAAATACCTGTGGTGGTATGATCTCATGAGATTTGAGAGGTGATTGGAACTGGCATAGCCCACAGTCCTAATATTTGAAATTTCTCAGTAAATTTAAGTTTTTCCTCTGGAAAGCATCTTTATGCTTACAAATATAGAAAGTGGAGTAGTCCAGCAGCACTTATTCCCTCTAAGGTGCCAGGGAGCTGATATAACTAGAAGGAAACTAAACTACAGACCCTCTACAGTGTCAGTATTATCCTTCTAAAAAAACTTTGTGTGGATTCTGCTTCTTTGAAAAACTTATTGCCTTATGCTGAAGAATCCATATACCTTCTTAGAAACCAAACCACAAAGACAAAAGGCAATGAAAGCTTCCTTTTGTTCTGTGTTACCTGACTGCATAGCGGGAGAGCTGAAACAAACATTTCAAAGCATCTCAGTTCTTGTTTCATAGGAAATGCAGGGGTTTGGAAGAAAGGCAGAAACTGCCTCTCCTTTTCTGGAGGTGAAAGAAATGGGAGGCTGCAGGTGGGCTGTCCATGGGGGAGCAGGGAAGCAGTGGAGGAGAGAAAACAGAGTTAAAAAGTCTTATATTTTGAATACAAAATAGATGGAAACTAAAAAAAAGTGGAGTACATCTGTCATCTTTATTAGTGATGAATTTGAGCAGTGAAAACAAGTAGATGGGCAGTAAAGAGGGAGTGAGAATTGAGAAGTTCAGCACTGCAACCCCTCGCTCTAAGGAGATGCCTTTTTGCCTCGTAGGACCCTCAGCCTCAAGCTAGAATCTTAATCATTCCTGAGGACTTTGAGACATGGTTTGTGGGGAGACACAAAGCCTGTTAGATTGATACGTCTGGGGGAAAAATGCTTTTGTATTTGCAAGCCCTGAAAGAGAGAGAGCAACCTTGAGGCTAAGTGCAGGCTGAGAGCAATGGTTCAGCAGGACAGTGAAGCATCTTAGAAGGCGGTTCACAGAAGGCAGCATTTTCGGTCCTGCTCTCCAAAAATAGCAAGATAGTTATCTCTGCACTTGGTAGCCAGCTATGGCTCTTTGACTTTGGACAGTAAAGACAGGTCAGTCCTTTGCTGAAAAGAAACTAGAAAGAGTTGTTTCCTCTGTAACAGTTCAGTGTATAATGTGTGTAGCTGGGAGGCAAAAGACTCATTTCCAAATTCCCACTCTACTGGATTGTTGAGCAGAGACATAAATTCAGGTCTCCCACAACTCCGGCACGTATTCCTAACCAGCAGAATTCTAGATATTCTGAACCAGTTTTCTCACAGTCCTTTAGGTTGAAATCATTCCATTTTATATAAATAATCATCTTTTAGATGAGGCATTTGAGCTGCACTTTTCCCCATGAGAATGTCATAAACCTCCAAACTGCAGGGCCAGTCAGACACTCGGCCTGTGACTACTTAATTACCCACTTGCAATGAAAAAAGCACGAAAGGAGAACTACAACAGACTTTTCCAGAATACTGAGCAGCCTTGTACCCAGGGACAATTTCCTGGGAGGTCAGAAATGCCACTAGACACTACTGTCCGAAGCAGGTAGAGGGAGATTTCCAAATCTTCCACTAGTGCCAATTCCTTGCAGGATAAAATGATAAAATGGGACTTTTCCTCTAGCTCCTAAGAGATTTCCTTTTTGGCTTCACCCAGTAGGTGAACTCTGAGAACCCATACTGGCTGGGCCATCCAGAAAGGACAGGAAAAAATGCTTAGTTGGAGAATGTGCAGATGATGGCTCAGTGGCCCCATTTTATGTGTGCTGGGACATGCTCCACAGAAGAAAGTTAGATGCCAGAGGGGCTTCAGGCACACTGCAAATGTAGATGATGAAACAGTGTTGTTTTGGAGTCATTCTGTACAGCTACACCTTATTTAGCTTTGAAAATCCATTCCAAAACACTTATTCTAAAATAGGGTCTCTGCATTTCAATCAGCACTTGAAGGACCTTTTTTAGAATACAGCGCATTTGTTTCTTTTTGCAGGAGGCATCAGTGAACTATTAATATTTATCAGTACTTTGACAGATGTTGACAATTTTAAAATAGAGGAGCTTCTTTGTTTCTCAGAGCCATGTGTTGGTTATTGTTAATGCTTGAGTGACAAATATATTATTCTGTATGAATTTGAATATGGAATATATAAATCTATCAACTAGTTATACTTTATCTCAGAAATGTGGTAACACAGGACTCAGAGTAGGCATAAGGTTGTGATAATAAAATGTTATCATTATCGACTTGGGATTAGTCCTTGCTTACAAACCATAGTTATATCATCAAAGTTATTCTGAAGGAGTACTAATTCTGCCTGCTGTCTCAAAATTATAGTATTTATATATATATCGCTACTTTACCAAAATGTGTACACATTTCTTTTAAAAATCGTGTTTATGTTTTATTTTATATTTTATTTCAACTGTAATGAATCTACGTTGGTTTTGTTACCTGTTATTTGGTTATGGGGATGTCTCCCTCCTAATGGTATAAATGGTATTTTTATGCCTGATGCATCACGTGATGTTGTCATCTAACCTGGAACGTGGACTACCGTTTCCTGGTAGGGCCTTCTGTGTTTCTGGAAATTGCATTGCCAAAACTATCTTTTAACCTTATGCATATATATAGTCTGCCTACACTGAACACAGTTATACATAGTTTTACATAACCGATTTTTAAAATCTTCTGCTTAAACTCAGTTTTGGAAAGTAAAGATTAAAAGATGCCAGGTCATGCTCTGCAGTAAAGGGTTGAGTGATGCACTGTTTCTAACTTAATTCCTTCTGATGCTAACTTAATTTCCTGTGACATCTTTTAGATGCAGACAACCTGAGAGTCCTGTCTTTTTCTATGGATGAACAAAAAAGCCATTTTACTTATAGCCTTCTCGTGGTGTTCATTTGGGTTCAGCTATGTAGTAGTATTTTTCTGACCTTTACACAGATTTGAGAGTTATGACAAGGAAAGTCAGAAAGAAATAACTCACAGGCTGTCCAGGCTCATCTCCTCCCAGGATCCTGAAGCCAAAGCCAGACTCCATTCTCCGAAGGTGAACATCCAGCTCCTTGTAATCGGGACCTGGTTTAAAGGGAAATCCCACTGAGCAAAGCGTTTGGCTTTGTCTTGAGAGTTTGCACCATCTTCCCTCCCACCTTGTGTTCATTGCACATGACTAATGGCATCCTGGTTAGAGCTGGTGGAAACAAATGGGACACAATGTGTTGTACACAGACAAGGAAGAGACTTGAAAATGTAGGTATCTCTTGGAGGATGGGTATGTTCACCAGAATACACTAAACCAAGCTAGAACACATTCACAGGAGAACAGTACTGGAAAAGTCTGTCCAAAACAGAGGTTATAAAGGTGCCTTCTTCCTACAACTGACTGCATAAGATACTGCTGTTCATCCACCTCTGATATGTAATTTGTGTTTTCCTTGCAGTTCATTAAAACCTAAAGAGAATAAAGTGAAATGGGAGATAGAGATACATAGAAAAATTATCAGTCCAACTTACAAAAGATGAATAATCATCACAGGCCATTTTAGTTCCACATACAGATATAAAGCAGTATGTCTTTTTAGGTAACGCATCTTTTAAGTACTCCACTTTCAGGTAATACCCTCAGTAAAGAGTTTTGATGAAAGCTATCATTACAAGCCTCTGAGTCTTAGGGTTTAAATTGAAAGCTAACAGCATTAACTTCAACTCCTTAATGCTACTCAATTAAAGTCTCAACAGCTTTATGAATCATTAAGATGGTGCTTCCATATGTCTGCATAACTTGCCTGTAAACATATATTCTGCCCTGGAATGTATCAGTTCAGGAACATAGTGGTTTTTAAAAGCCAGTTTCTTATAAAAGTGTCTTTGGCTTTATTTGAAAGAGCCCATTGTTTTGGGTCTTCATGCCCTCAAAATACAAAAGAGAAATTTTGAATAATATTTCAAATAGTATAAAGTGAAACCGTAAGTAGTTAGAGGATTAAGAAATTGTCTATTTTGACTATTGCTTTGTCTGCATGTTCAGAGATGCTTTAGGCTCACTACCTAAAGCAGGACAGTGATTAACAGGAATGGTCTTTTGTACAGATTGCAATCTGGTCTATAAATTGTGACAGCTTTTGGCCAGTGTCAGCTTGTTGCCAACCCCAACACACAAAAAGGGATGGAAGATTTATTTCAGCACACTGTTCTAGTTGTGCCTTGTTTCTTCGGGAGGGGAGGGACTACAGATGGCTGAAACACAGTATTTCAGCGACTCTTGTTTACAGATCCCCCCTTGAGCCAGCAGTGGACACCTCAGAAACTGTGGAGTTGGGAAGACCCCAGCTTTAGTCTGGGATTAAAGCCAATTCAGTTTCAGTCAGGTCTTGCAAAGACAGAGATAAAGAACTACGTGCAGTAGCTCTATACTCTGACCGTGCAATAAAAATCCTCTCTAGACAGCAGCATAGTGCATTATTTCAGCGATGTATATTGGTACGAGTGAGACTGAATCACAAATATTTCAATTGGTAAAATAGAAATATTACCTTTCCCTAACAACTTGCTTCTCATATATTTAGAAGACAAACCTAAACAGATCCTAACAGCTTATTATCCTGACTTTTTCCAGTTTATTTGATAAGTGTCTCCAAAAGTGAATAAAAGAACAAACGAAGTTTGTGCATGCACAGTATGTTAACTTAATGCGAAGGTTGTTTCAAAGTTGTGAGAAGCAGAGGAATTTTAAGATCAAAGTGATACCTTATCTTTACCTGATTTGCTGTGCCTAAGTGTAACAGGGATGCTAGGGAGTCACTAGGGAGAGGGCTCTGTAGGTAGACACAGTAGGATCACCATTTATAGCCCAGGTCTAACACTCAAAGGCACTGTTTACAGCAGTCTGTCACAAACCGAGCACTACCTTTATTTCCACACACATGAATGAATATACACAGTTGGGAATACATTAAGAAAGTAAAAGAATGTCAGGTTGTGAAGAATACATGCTTTGGCACACTGAGATGAAAATGTCCCTCAAACACATACATTGACAAAGCTGATCCAAACCAATGTCGGCACCAGACTCCAAAATGAGAGGTACTATTTTTTTTAAAGAGGCTGTTTTTCTACCCATTTAGAATGGAATAAGAGCCAGGTTGACCATGAAAAGGTTTAGGCTAAAAATACTGTATATGGGCATACTTTTCTATAAGCTCTAACACCATTTGGAAGCCTTTGGATTAACTGACTATGCTATCATGCTTGCTCAGAGGAACCTCCCTTCTCAAATAGCTGGAAGTCTATGGAACCCATTCTCTGCCAACACTTACCAGGCCACTGAAAACTGCTTTTAAAAAATAATGTTCTTTTATGTCCCACCAAGCAAACAAAACTTGGGACTGGAAAGGATCCCTGGGTCATCTAGTCCACCTCCCTGTTACTGCAAGCCTCTGCAAGCAAACAGCACACAGACCTTACCAGTAAAGACATAGGCAAAGACGACACTGGTACCTGAGCTTGTTTGTGGCCTTTGTCACTAGGTCACCTGCCTATTCAGAATCTTCACTGATGGATTGCACCCCGTGATTTTACTTACTTTTTCACAGTAATATCATATTATCTCCAGCAACTGACTAGTACACTTAAGAGCATTTCCTCCACTGCTGTTGCTGGTTGTTTCAGCGTTCATGCTTGGTATGATACGACTCCATTGGCTGCACTGACCAGCTCTCCATGGGTCTGGAGACAACTGCACCGTAGATACCTGAAGTTACATGTCTGAGTGTGGACTTGATTTCCACCCCTAGTTTTTGTGCTTAGGTCATTAATGAAAATAACACTGAAGACTTATTGCAAGGCTCTCCACTAATATTACCCTTTCAGTCCAGAAACTGTTCTTTTAGTAGAATTGCTTATCTGCTTTCTAGCCATTCCTCTTTACATTTTGTGCTGAGCACTGTCTTCTCCAGGGTAACATGGAAGTGCCTCAATTACAACTGGCATTTTGTAAACATCTAGTTGAAGTCTAGGTTGATTAAGCATGCATTGCTTATTTGGTGTAGAAAATCAGTTACCAGGTTAGTCTGACACAATCAACTTTTGGTAAACTCCTTTTGCTTATCCTTCCGGACAACTTAATCCACCTGAATGTCCCATCTCCTACCAGTTTCATTAAAAGAAGAGTTTCAGCTTCAAGTCAATATTTCTGATTGTATAATGCGGGTATCCTGTGCAAGAATGAGAATGTTCCCTGTTCTCCCTTGCCTCTCTACACATTTATATTAGAAAAAGAACTTTAGATTTGCCTGCTAGTAACTTAATTTTCTTTTTTATAGTTATAGCATTTTGTTTCTTCTTTTTGTGTAAAGGAAAACTTTCTTAACTGATCTTTGGCCTAGAAGAGAAAAAAAACCCCAAACCAATTCACTTTGCTAGGTTATAAAACCAGCTGGCTTCCCCATGAATTTGAGAATGGTATTGGACAAGCTGTGATCTGATCATTGCTGCACAGTAAGGACAGTAAAGAGCATTGGGAAATTCTGCTTTCTGGTTCCTGGACAATGGGGAATTTGCTTTAAATGTAAAGGTACCAGAATAGATTGTTACTGAACAATAGTGAGATCTCATAGGTGAAGATGTGATTATCAGCTCTCGGCTACATTTCTGTACTATATTCACCTAGGTGAATTACACATTGATAACTGTACATGCAATTGTTTCTTAAAAGTATGTAGAGAAAATATATCCCTGAAGATGATTAATTCATTTTCTGTATGAGTCAAGTTGCACAAGTGCTATGTAATTTTTACAGTGATAAACCTGGTGTTTGGGATGATGCTGTAAATGTTGAAATGGATTTTTTTTTTTATCAAATCTCTTCTATACTGCAATTAAAACAAAGATGAAGAGCTTTGTTGTAATAATTTTACAGTCTTTCTGGGTGTACTCAACTTTCCTGCTAAAAATAAAAATTAATTTGGACTCCTTTGCTGAAGATGGTGAAGATTTTTGTTCCATATAAATCATTACTGTGAATTGTGATTGACACAAATCTACAATAACTTTGTGTCTGAGTTTCAGATGCTCTTGAAAGATGTGAAAAGCTTGAAAACAGTCATGAGTCTGCTGGTCTCCAACCTGAGTAACTTTTTAAAAAATATACATATTTTCCCTTGATATTTATAGAGAGGAAAACCTGGTAAATAAAGACTTCAGTATAAAAATCAGCAAAGGAAAAAAAAGAAGACAAGAATTGGTGTGCTAACAGAGTTATTCAACATATAAACTCTACTGGGGTATGCAAAACAAGCCGAATATCATATTTAATTTAGGATCTCTGTCCAACCTGTGTAGGACTAGAAAAGACTTCAATGGGATTGTCGAAACAGCCTTTTTTTTGTATGGGATGCTTGTTTTAACTGTTCACTTAACATTATCACATTGGGAAGTCAAATACTGCTGGTTTTTAAACAAGTCCATTGCCACTTTACAAGACTGATGTTGATTCAAACACTTGAAAAAGCTTCTATTTTTGAAAGTTTTTGCTTTTAGGTTTTTACAGAACAAGATATACGTATTGGAGCAAGGAATGGGTGGGTCTGCATAACAGATCAGTTCTACTCTTTAGCGAATGAAGATAGAATTAATTTCAGTTTTACACAAAATATTGCTTAAGCTTAGATTTGGGCATAAGCTATAGAGATACATTTTTATGTTAAAGAGTGAACACTACCATATGAAAGTACACATAGAACATTGTAAAACATACACAAAGACTGCCTGAGGAAAAAGAAATACTTTTCCTTGCTCAAAATGCAAATCTATTATAAAAAGATTTAGAGTTAGCATTCTATAACCCCACAAAGCTCTTACAAAAATAAAATGGTGACTGGGCAGTCATGACTGGCCATTATCTAGAGAAATGATTAAAGAAAGAATAACTAAAACATAAAATGAAGGACAACTAGTTTACAGAACAATGAAGGCTGAAGAATACTTGCCAGAGGAATCCACTCGAAAACCAGTCCTGGGCAGCACTTGTTCTGAATAGGAAAATGGGGAGTTAAAGATGAAATACATTTCTCAAGTTATTTAAAGATGCAGCATCAATTTCTCTGCCATGTTTTGAATTACTGAAGTGCAATTTCTACTTTCTATTGCATTTTTTTTTCTCCTCCCCTCCTTCCTGACTTCCTAGGTGGTACATGTACGTATTCCTGCTAGAAGTAGACCTCCCTGTGCATTTCTATGCAAAGTGAAACAGATGATAAGATGGTAATGTTCCTTTAACATAACATAGGTTATGATGAAAGATAAAATTGTTAATGTGTTTAAAATTGTGAAAGTTAGTGACAATATTTGTGTTTATTCAAGTACAGCAATAAAAGGGGAAGTTTAATGGCTGTGTTTAGATGACTTGACCACTGCTTTTATTCAACTTAATTGCAAAATGTCTTTTATCATCAAGAAGCGCAAGATTTTGCTAGAAGGATGTATATTGCCAATAACAACTGGTTGTACACGAAGGTAAATGCAGGTAAACCCATTTAACCTACTTTTCATGTAGGTAGTTTCAAAGTATTTGCATTTCACTAGATGAAATGCAGGAAATAACTGTTTTGTTTTCATATACAACTACTTTGCTGGCGTTCGTTAGAGGAATCTGGAACAAATCCATAACTGTCACACTTCCTTTGCTGATTTTGAAACGTTCTAAGAATTGCTGTTTTATTATCTCTGCAGCATTCAGAGTGAATTGCAAACCAACCCAAACCAGAGGTCATTTCCATTGGTCTACCAACAACAAAAAGGTAAATAAAGCACTAACACATTCATGTGACTCTAAACCAGAATATCATACCACGCATATTACATGGTATAAATAGGGTAAGGTCTGTCCCAGCAGCATCTGTGGGACAGTGATGCAACATATGACTATACCTTATCTTACTGAGATAGAAGGAAGACAGGAGTGGATTTAATACTGTAAGTAGGTAGTTCCAGGCAGAAAGAAGCCAGAGAATGCACTGGAGGCCAGCACTTTTGGCTAAGCCTTCTGGAAATATGTGGATGTGGTGAGAGAAATAAGAAGACAGTATTTCCTCTGTGGGCAGCTCCTTACCACTTTAGAAGAGTTTGGACTAAAGTTACCTGCCTTCTGGTGGGCTGCTTCCTAAAGGCAGCATGTACTGTCATGGTAGCAGCTGAGTAATTCATAGTTCACTTGAGTCAATCCTGAACTAATGTTCTAGGGCAAAGACATTTTCCCCAAAATGGACATGGAGGCCACTGAATGTCTTATGACTTTTTTGGTAAGAGTATTTACATAACAGCCATGACCTGCTCAAATTCAGGTGACTGCTACCCTGCTTACCTAAAATACAGTCCAGAGATTCCACTGGATGGGAACATCCTTCTGGATTTGGTGTTCCCATCGTATTTGTGTTCACTGTCTGCGTTGAGAGTTGTGTCATGAGGGCTATTGTGCTTTATTTTATAGGTAGCTGCACATCTTTGGTGGTTAAACGAGGTAATGCCTTCACACACTTCAGATTTTGTAAAATGATTTGGGATCCTTCAAGATGAGAGGTGCTATCTAAATGTAAATTATTCCACCAGCACAACTCCTGAAAACCAAAACCTTTGAAACTGATGCTGCTCCACTGCAAACTTGGAGAAATGATTCTTTTTACTCACATCCTTTCAAGATTTTTAATAGAATTCTTAAAAGAGATGGAATGATTTTAATGTACAGAAAGCAATTTCATCTTGATAGTCTCAATAAGCTTTTAGGTTTGAAAGGACACAAGCCGTTTCTCTTGGTCGTCCAGCTAGAATTATTCTTTGGAGCTGATGTAAGATTGGTTCATTCTGTGTTTCCATTTCTGCTTGCAGTCACTCTAATATCCCCCAGAATTGGCCTCAAGCAGCAAAGTGAAAGAGGCACAACCATGCTCAAACTGTGACAAATTAGGGAACAACTTGCTATGTTAAGATAGCCATATATTTTAAGTAAGTTAGGAGTATCTTTTTTTGTAAACTATTGTTTGTGGTCAAGCAAAAGTGCCTGTCAATAAGGTAGTTTCCTTCAAAGCTAATCTCATTAAGTCTGATCTGGCTTTTGTTCCTGCATAGGTGTCTTTTCTTTGCCTTGCAGAACTTCATATAGACTCTCATGGTATTAATTATCATATCGTAATCAACAATTCCGCATCTAGCATTTGTTTTCATTGTAGTTTAGGAATTCACACACAAGAAACTTGGAACTGTGCTATACTGAATGTGTTGAATCAAGCCTTCAAGTTCTTAAACGTACAATCACCAGAAAGATAAACCCAAGTGCAGACTTGTATTTTTGGTAACTACAGCAAAGCAATGTTCATTTTAGGAAGAATCTGCTGTCAGCAGTCTGTGTCTGCCTGCAGTACAGGATAGTTGTAATTATGTCACTGGCATGTGATAGGCAAAAGGTTAGCAACCAGTAGAAAACGTCAAAAGAGAAAGGATCTGTGAAGAACATTTAACAGAAGAAGGGACTTTATTAGCAATGTCTCCCTATGTAAAATGCAGCTATATAGGTAGTTGTTTTCAAAACTCGCACAGTTCTGAGCTCAGAGACCCTACAGAACAGCAGCTTCCAAGTGAAGAGGAAGGACTGCTGGGACTGGTCCTCAGCCAAGCAGAATGCATGTCATTTGTGCACATCCTGGTGCCTTGTACCTGCTAAGAACAAACTGATTGAACTGGTAATTTTACCAAAATACTGAGAGAATAGCAAGCTTTGTTTTATAAAAACCTGTCAATGAGTTTTTATAGGAAACTAACCTTTACACAAGGTGATTTGAAACTTTCCATTTACTTATTGTTAAATTCATGTTGTCATTTTCTGAACTTTTACTATGTTAAACCTCCTGCCTCCACCTCTTAGGAAAGGAGGCAGCAGAAGGCATGTTTGGAGAGGTCAGGACAAAGAGACCAGACTACCCAACACTGCCACCAGGAACAGGCATTCAAAGTGAAAAAAGTTTTAAAATGTTGACATAAGATTTCTGTATTCTCCATATGAAGCCTTTTTTGGTTGAACTTCTGTGGCTGCGTTAGCATGAGTAGTTGTAGTCTTCTAGGTGAAATAGGAATGAGATAATTACAAAGTAGAGCTTGAATGAATAATAAAATACCTGGTAAGTTTGCTGCATTAAGTTTTTTAGTTCAGCTAAGCAGTCCTAGAAACAAGAATTGGGAAAGTAAAGCTAAGAAGCCTTCTTCTTGATTGCTACTTGTATATAACTGTAACTGAAAGAAATCTCCACCATGGGGCCTACTCTAAGTGCTCTGGAGAATGAGGATGCAGCTACACATTTTAAAGAGTCTTCCTATACATCAAGATTCCTTCCGTATCAGATGAATGCAAAGCCAAGATTAATTTTGCTATTGGAAGATAGAATAGTAAAAAGCTTGCACATCTAGCTTTATGTTTAATCTAAAATAAATTACACTCATGGTTTTGAAACTGAAAGCTGCAAAATATTTGTGAAAACAGATAAAAAATAACAAGACCTGGGACACCATCCTGACTTAACTGAAACCAATGGTGAAAATACCAGCCTTCTTTGCTGTCAAGGTACAGCCCTAGGAGCACAGTTTACCTACAACATGACACAAGGGTATTCTTATTTGCACCAGTGGAGTCACTGGTATTCTCTGGAGGAAGAATTATGCTAGTGAAAGATAGGGATGATAATATTTACTGTCCATACTGCATTATTTTCTGGATCATACTTTGTGGAATGCTAAATACATGGAACAAAATTAGCACCAGGAAACATTTCTATTTCAGCATCTTAGTCCTAGCCATGCTTTAGGTAAATAGGAGTTTTACAAATGGGCAGAACGAATATGATCATGCTGCAATGTCCTTTCCAAAGCTGGGCAAACAGCAGTGTGAAACAGCACATAGGTAGTGCAGTTCTCATTGGTCTCATGCACCTGTGATTAATTCCCCAATGCTTACAAGTCAGTTTTCTTAAATTATTACTTTGACTTCTTAAGTACACCCTACCACTTTGCAGATGAAAATCTATTCATATACCTTTTGGTAAAGTGTAAATTGTTCAAGAGAAAGGAATACTGCATCTTTAATAGTGCCATCAGTTATAAAACTGACACTTCATATTAGCATAGGTCATTTGGGACCTACTTCGCAATCCAGCAATCAAAATCACTTTACATCCGCAGTACTGTGATGATGATATTCTTATAATTCTATTTGAAAATGCTTTTGGTTTCACTGTCAGTTCTTATAACCAACAAATCCATTTTGTCATGGCAAGTAACTGTTTCTGCAGTGATGAACAATACAAAATTATTTTATGTTGGTCTGCTAAATTTCCTCTCCTTTTGTTATGTATCATCTCTTATTAAATAAAAAAAGGGTTACATTCATTTGGTAATATAAGTTCTTAGACCTTCTCTATGCTGTTGCTTGGGGTAGCACAGATGCAAGGAAAACAACAACCTGTACTGTTTGGAAATGACTTTGAGAAATTACCTTCCTATGACTCGATTGCTCATACTATGACTCCATAGGTCAAGGAGTAGTTTGATGATAACACGTAATATTTAGTAAATTCCAATACTCTTATATTTACTAAGTGAAGGCAGGCATGTCATGAAGGGCAGTAGCTGGTGAACAGAAATATTGAAAAATAAGGCAAACTGAGCTCAAGGAAGATTTGAAACTAGAACCTAATTTTCTGAATTTGTAGTCTCACAGCCTTTACCCATACAAAAAATCCCTTTATATTTATATAATGCTTCAGAATACTATGTATTTAACACTTTCATAGTGCTATGTATATACATATACACACATATATAGATATTTTTAAAGCACCATAAACAAAATGTGAATTTTTTTAGACCAAAGATGAGCAAAAATGGGAAATATTGTTAGGGGCAGAATTTTTGTCAGGAAAATACTGTCTGAAAAAAATTGTAGTAACAATTATGTGAAAAATGTCCTTCAATTTTTAAGACTGTAACT